GTATGTGCATCGGCATACCCATGCAGGTCATGCAAACAGACCCCAAAGCAAACACGGCCAAGGTTGTCGGACGGGGCGAACATAAACGCATCAACACCGCGCTCGTGGGCCATGTAAACATCGGCGATTGGCTACTGATCTTTATGAATGATGCACGTGAAATCCTCTCGCCCCAGCGGGCCCAAGAAATCGACGCCACCCTAAACATGGTAGAAGCTGCCATGCAAGGCCAAGTCGAGGTGAGCACTCAAAGCGCTGCTTTTGCCCTACCCTCTCTCATGGACGCAGCGCAACTTGCCTTGTTAACTGGGGCCATAGCTGACACAAAGCCCAATACCCCAAGCGCATAGCACCTCAAACACAAAAAATCATGTCTATTACCGAAACCACAACACCTGCCACTCACCCGCTACAGCAGCGCCTCGTCAATGACTTTGCTGCGCAGTGGCTGGATGAGTCGAATATAGATGCCTTCGTCAACGCTGATGGCGACCATGTCTTATTTCTTATGGGTGATACGCACCGCTTTGCGCAAGGATTGGATGTGGCTGTCGTACTACCAGAGTTGCAATCCATGCATCCTCAGCGCTTCGATATCGGCGTAGTACGCAAAGAGGCGGAAGATGCCATTGCCAAACGCTTTGCCTCTCGCAGCTGGCCTGCCCTGATATTTGTGCGACAAGGTCAGTATGTGGGCGTCATCAACGGCATGCACGACTGGGACGTATTTATACAAAAAACCACCGATCTACTTGCTGCCGCACCTACACGTTTACCTATAGCCATCCCTGTTGTAGGCAGTGGCCAAGCATCAAGCTGCGCCTAAACCACACACAAAGCCCCTTTATGGAAACAAAACCTTTTCCCATTCCAGTCATCAGTGAGCTAGGCATTGGCTCTCAAGCCGCCGAAGGGCTGGACTACACCCCTATGCCCAAAGGGATGCAAACCTATCACGCCCCCGTTCTACCAGAGCCCGAAGAAGCTGCATCTTGCCAAGCTGCAAAGGCTGCCCTGACCGCAGTGTTGCTTATTTTACAAACGCAGGCCACATCAAACGGCGCAGCGTATACAGCCCAGAGCAAAGTCCACTTAAATGACCTAGATACCCTCAATCTGGCCTTGATCAACCAAGTTCTGGGCGAAGGAGAAGTTGCCGCAACTGTATCCGCTTCAGAAAACACAATAGGCGTGCATGTACAAGAATCGGTTTTTACCGGTGTTTGGCGGGTACTTGACTACACGCAAGAAGGCACTTTGCAAGACTATATCGAAATAGGCCCCATCCCGCGCATACTCCGCGAAGTCGCACTCATCGACGCACAAACTAAAAATCACAGCCGGGCGAGTGCAGCAGAACTACCTCAGCGTTTTTTAGGCAGCGTAGGCCCACTTTTGACGGAAATACATGAAAAAAGCAGCTACGCACAAAGCCTGGCTGAAGAAGCAATCACCACCACCACTACCCCTTTCTCGCACACCATCAATTTAAGCTTGCTTCCCCTAGGGATAGAGGATATTTCTTACCTGGACCATAGCCTCGGTACGGGACGCGTGACCATTCTCTCCCGCGGCTATGGCAACTGCCGGATCACCAACACCCTTACACCCGAGACCTGGCGCTTGGTCTATTACAACTCTCAAGATATTGTCATACTCAATGCAGTAGAAATAACGAAAGTGCCTGAAGTCGCCTGCGCCGCCATACAAGACCTAGAAGACTCGGCCGAGCGACTTGCTGAAGTGTTGGCCTGGTTGGGGCAAGATGAATGACGCAAAAACAAGACGCGACTCAGCCACGCTTCGAGGGCAGCTACCTGGGCGATGCCAGCCGCATAAAACCAGAAACCAAACTGGAATGCAAAATTTGCTGGTACGTTTACGATCCAGCCCTG